CTGTGCAGACATCAGCGACAAAATTATTACCATTTTCATCTACATGTACATGTACATGTATTTCTAATCCGTAATCGTTTCTTGTATTTGTAAGCATTTTGTCCACAAAATGGCCTGCATGTGTTTACTGGTGATCGTAAAGTGGTAAACACAGCATTGTTGTGAGGGCTATCGCACTTCGCCATGCCTGCTCCACTTCTGGTAAGTTCTGCTCTGCATTCAGCAGAAAGCAAGCGCATCTGCATGTATAATAAATTATTATTACTAGTAATACTACCATGACTCAACGATCGCGATGGGCCTCTCAAACGGGCACAATTGGATTACCGGTATGTAATCAATTTAATTTCTCCTGTGATCGCCTTGTTGTGTTCATTCTCATGCACACCAGTCGCACAGTACTAGTAGTACTAGTACACACAAGCACACACCTAGCCACATTAACACTAATACAATGACGTCATGTATCTGGAACGAGTGGGGCGTTTATGTACATTTTATGTACAATAATGTGTCATGTCGTATCTGTGATGCCTTTCAGGAGACGGTGATGGACTGATTGATGCCGTGGTTGACGCCTCTACGCCTCTACTAGCTCTAGCTAGGATCACCTAGCATACCATGCCCATGGGCCTGGCACTTGGGAGATCGTCTGGGTGCACCGGTGAGGGCCCTGCACTCCATGTCCATGGTACACTAGCTTTCAATTTCAAGCCTTTGATGTGATGTGATCCAGTGTTCTTGTGAGAACCAAGCCTTGCGGTTCAGCCCTGAGGGCACACTCTGTTTGCAAACAAATCCACTCTCCTCAAATGCACGGCTTACAGAACGTCAGATCAAGCACAGCCTAGCACTACAGCCCACTAGGGGCAAATCGAAGGAAAAGGCTGTGAAGCTCACAGGCCTACAACTAGTACGTAGTAGTAGAGATATTATCATGAGTGATTTCACATCTTCGTCATGTGACTAAATTTGTGTAGAAAGACAAGACTTTATTAGTACTAGTGATCATGGCATGATGCAGACAGTGTAACCAAAATAGCCGACATCACGTCACCCATGATAGGCATAGATGAAACAGGTTGACTGGATTTGGAACCAACATCAGGGAGTGTACAAACACACTTTGTGCAACTCCCTGGCTATATTATTGAACCACTTATTATTATATTATAGCAGGAGTAATAAGCTCCCAGGCGCTCATTTACCAATACTCTTTCTTATACTATTATCGTACTTCGAGTATGTGACATACTTTGTTCAATGTACATGTGTACTAGACAGTCCGAAGTCACGTTGTAAATGTCATTTCACTAAACTGTGACTAAGGAGTAAAGTGCATTACCTTCCCCATGACTGGGCCACATAGCCTTCTCCATTTAATAATAATTATGGTAATTGTGGTGATTGATGATGCAGCAGTGGCGCTAAGTCCCTACGAAAGGCTGAACGCCAAGCACTCAATGCCACTTGAGTATCAAGTGGACATTCCGGATTGCTAGCTCCTGCCATAGTGTGCATATTATAAAAGATTAAAAATCACACAGGCTCTAATCCCTCTCTTGACCTCGACACGTCGTCTGACCTAAACGGTTTAGGGCAAGGCCCTCCAACTAAACACCCTCCAAGTTGGCAACAACCTAATCAATCCAGTGAGATTGCTGCATACCCATTGCATGGCGCGTGATCTCACACCATGCATATTCACCAACATCGACAGCACATGGTTTGGTCGTAGATCACCTGGAGGGAGTTTGTTTTACTTCAGAACTGAGTCCGCATCTCCTAGAGATGGGACGGGTTACAACGATGTACTCAGTACAGCACATTGTATTGCCAGTGGCTTGCCACACACACAATGTACACTTGTAGGTTGCATGGTACTGGCTTCAGCCATTGCTATAACTCTATGAGCCTTTCACTCTCATGCAGTCCGGAGTGAGGCATTCCAAATGATTTGCCTGGAGGCCTTGTTTTCGCTAATGTTTACCGACGCATTACTGGCATTGCATTGCACAGGATAAGATGTGCGCGGCGTCCTTAACCTGTCCTTAACCCAGGCTCTATCAACAATGCGCTGGGTCCTCCAGTGCCGCCGTCTTCTCATATTCCTTGTCACTAGCCTTCCATAAACATCCCTAAATACATTGAACAGAATGCAGCTACAGTCGTCATTAAATTGTCATGTATACGCACTTGTATATAATTGTACATGCTGCGTATACGTAACAACGTCCTGTCCACGTGGCTAGGTGAAGAATGTCCGAGATCATGCCATTTCCTCGCTTTGTCCTCGAGCATTCGAGCGAAATAAAGTAATGTGATGCGTGCGTGCGTGCGTGCAAAAGTTGGTATCCCTGTCCCAACGGCGTTGTGCCATCCTTTCCAAAAGAAAGAAAGAAAAGCTGACAGGATCGCTTTTCTAAATCCTTCCACTTCCACATGCCCATCGCTCAAGCGATGATAACGAACAAGCTACATATGCATGTACATGTACGGCATGTATGTTATAACGTTAGGCATACCAACTACCGGTACATGCAATTACCTGAGTCTAAACCGGGTTTAGCCAGACCTGCATGGTTGACCTGGGTGGCCAGAGCTGGATAGTTGACTGGGGCGGCTGGACGGAGTTGACCGGAGCAGGTGCATGGCTTGTACTGTTAAAATGTATACTCCGACTCTCAGTATAGTAGTTACTGGTATGTTGAGTCACAAAAGGAGTCATAATCCCAGACACACCCGGAACAGGTACGACGACATTTATTATGGTGACGGGAGATGGAGAGAAAGACGAACGACTACATTTATGAAGAGAGAGAGAGAGAGAGAGAGAGAGAGAGAGAGAGAGAGAGAGAGAGAGAGAGAGAGAGAGAGAGAGAGAGAGAGAGAGAGAGAGAGAGAGAGAGAGAGAGAGAGAGAGAGAGAACGAACGCAAGATAAAGGACCTGGGTAGCTATGGCAAATATGGGCGCGCAGGAGACAATATATGGGAGGAGGTACTTCAAAACGTACCTCACAGTAGTTGCTCTCCGCCTTCGTTAGTTACAGTTGTAACTGTGAATGTGAGCCCTTTACTTATCTTTGTCAGTTGACCCTGGAGGGCCCAGGAGGGGGGGGGGGGCACGAAGCTGACGTTACATGATGTACAAATTGTATAATTATGTACATGTTTATGTCCGTACGTACGCGCACACAGTACACACATACCCAGACACACATTGTCACATATAAATCATTGTACTTGTAGCTGTTACTAATACTAGTGTTACATGTCCATAGCCTACTGAAATTGTACTGAATTCTATTATAGTGATACTGTCTAATCAAGGTTATCCTGGTGAACCACATAATTGCCATGAAAGATATCCCAATGCACATCATGACTTCAAAGTACAGTTTCCATAAATTCCTTCACACAGATACATGTAGGTTACGAGGAGAACTAACCACCTACATGTACATGACTGTGTACCTTACAAAGCACCTTTTTTTGCTTTTTCAAAGCGGCTTGTTTTTTAGCACCTACATGTACATGTATGTCGCGAACACCTCCCTACTAGTACTCAGCTTAGATTTTGAACAAGCATGATAACCATGCATGCTCAGTGATGAACTCGTTGGTGTGTGGTTGGAGTTCATGTGCACGGTCACGTGTGCTTGCATAGCATGCCCGCGTGTACCCCTACATGGTGAGGGCAGGCCACCTCCCTACTGGCAACCCACTGGCACTGTGATCTGGAGGGGGATCATCTCCCTACCGCAGGCCCATTTTCAAACTGCGGCTGCCAGGTATGCCAGGTATGGCATTGCACAGCTCCAAGAGTTCGTTGCCGGCTTGTACACAGGTACATGTAATTGCTCTCCCGCTCCATGTGGCCATTCAGTTCATGTGTTCCTCGACTAGCCTCTAGACCAGCGACTTGGCGCGAAGATCAAGCCGTGACTGTACGATTACACCATCACGAATAGCAAGTACTCTCCACAGTGTCCACACTCAAATCGTGCGGTTCGTCTCGTCTTCAGAACGCAGTTTAGACGGGAGGGTGTCAGACAATCTGGTGATTTCACCAACATAATCATCGATAACTGCGCTATCTCACTGCATGATGGAACGGCGGGCCTTTCCTGTTGACAAGACGTTCTTAGGTGTTGCGAAGTAGCTGAGGTATGATAATTTGCCTGTGTCAGCACTTTTGCAATGATTCATTGACGGAATCCTCCAGGAGTTCAACAGATCCAATCCAAGATCTAAGTCATTTTAATCATCGTTAGCATTTAAAAAAATTGAAGGCGGAAAGGGGAAAAATTCAAAATGGAAGCACGTGTAAGGTGATTTCGTCAACGCCATACTTGCACACGGTGCGTTTAACGCCTAATCCGCCAGTCGCTTCATTCCAAACAACTCCATATTAGCTTCGGGTGGCTGATACAGCTCAATGGATCCTAAATAAGTGTTCATGGTGCAAAAGCAAAATCACGCCAATCACCCCCGCTGGGTCGCTGCCTGCCGTGGCATTCACAGCCGGAGACGCACCGCTGCGCTGCGAGCACTTTCTCCTGATGAAGTTTTCCTATCACACTAATTCCTAATGCCAAGTAATGGTGCACGTGGACAGGTTGGACAGGTTAGACGAGATCGTGATGAGCACGCCATGCACGCACGCACGCACCGCCCAGTAGCAGTCTAGGGTAAGTACCAACATCACCTCATTGCACTGGAGTGCCTCTCTGTTCGGTGGGCTTTGAACTAAGCCTTAGCCGAAGCTGTCCCAGGAAGAGTCAAACCACTCATCTCTCACTCTCTCCCATGTCCGATGCTTGACACACGTGCCCTTGTTGTCGCGTCCTGAGGACGTGACACGAACTAGAACACCGAAAGCCACCTCCCATTCTTGGCGGCTTAGCCCTCACCTGTAGTTACATGTACCAGTAGTGTAGTAGTTGGTGATGCTGAGCTCTGCTCCAGCCACTTCACTGTGCATGAGTCTCTCAGGCAGTCCGGGTCTAGCCCTCACCACAGCACAGTTGGTATGTTGTCAAGAAGGCACTTGCGAGACCCAACTTAGTCGTCTACACACAATCGCCGCGTGAATCGCAACTGGAATACTGAGCATACTGAGGACCGCATTAGCAGCAGCCTCACTCCTCTTAGTCTTAGCCTTGTAGTTGTACGCCACCACACTCTGACTCATGCTCAACAGTCTACAGCTAGCTATGTACATGCACGATGGTTGAGGGCTAGCACTCGCGTTGTACAGGCGACGAACTGCATCGCTGCTACTGTTGGTACCATCAGATGCTACAGCCTCGTCCGTTCAGTGAGTCCAACACTATCAACACCCACGTATGGCCACACGCATACACACACGTACGTCCCCCATCATCATGGCCCCGCGCAGAGTAAACACTAATGCTGATGTCCTGCTGAGACAGCGCTGACAGGGAACTTGGAAGGGTATAAGAGGAGAGGCTTGCGCCACTCCTGCTGTCACTGAACCGTGGTTCTGCTCGTAGGCACCTATCCGCGGCTACCGGTCCAAGCAGGAGAACACCTAAGCCGCCAGTCTATTCCGGGAGGAGGGACTGCGTCAACAGGCAAGGGAAGATGTCCTTTCAATCCTTTCTTATACCACTCCTGCTCTTGAGCTATGTCAACATGTACTACTGTCTCAAAACTAGTAAAGGATGCTGGAAATCCGTTGACACCAAACAGACGTTCCTGGGCCTTGCGGATCGGCCTCTACCTCTGGCAGAGTTCCGGAAAACTTTGGATGACACATCCGCCCAAGCGAACGCACCCGCTGGTTATACTGCAGACTTTAGCAGCAGAGGTGAAGCGGGCGGCAGTGACAGCAGCAATGTTGTGAGTGACCTGGAGGCTGACATGGGTTGGCTGGATGTGAACATGGACACAGGGTACGTGACGGCTACGAACGTCCGCCTCACCGACTGTGACATATCTCAGCCCGCCTCTCACGTCAACGGCCACAAGTGGCTGTCCAAGGAGGTTCTGAGGGAACGTCTTGGAGAGCGATTACGCGGTCACACCACAAGAAGCAATAGTAATTCTGACCATCAGCAGCAGCAGACCCCTGTGACTAGCACTAGTACCGGCAGTACCAATACTAACAGTGATATGATTGATGCACAGCGCCGCCGTCGCCGCCGTAAACGCGAGGTTTGCGGCAAAGATAATCGTCATCGGATCCACGCGGCTACCAACTATCCCGGAGCATCCGTGCTGAAGGTCATTCTTGATCACAACCGCTGCACGGGAACGCTGATAAGTCCCATGCATGTCTTGACCGGTGCTCACTGCATCTATAACTATACTGTGGCCGCTTTCAACGTGGGATATCAACACACGGTGGTGGGTTTACCCAGGCCGAACAAGACCAGTCCGTGGAGGATAGATTTCTACACGCACAGGGTAGTGGGAATGTACCTTCCAGCACGCTACGTCGAGCCGCGCGGGGCGAGACGTGAAGAGTACGACTTCGCTGTGCTGGTGTTGCGACACTGCCTGCGACAGCCCTACATGAAGGTCTCCAGTGTGCCCCGCCACTGGATGCGTATGAAAGAGCCGCGACCTTCGCGCAACTGCAAGGTCCGCGGTGCGTCCAGTAATCACACCAATCTGCACATGATTGCCTTTGCCGAGGACAAGCGTCCCAACACGTCCCTGTGGTATACATCGTGTATCATGCACGGGGTGCAGCATGGCCTGTTCAAGCAGTACTGCGATGCAGTGATGGGCAGCAGTGGCGCAGCGCTCTACACGTACCAGCCAGAGGAGATCACGTTCAACGCGGGCAGGTCCGTGGTGGAACGGATAGAACATCGGATCCGGGGCGTGTTCGTGGGTCACATGACGTCACCAGGGTACAACTTCAACATTGGCCTGGCTATAACGGAGGAGAAGTTAGCAATGATTTGCCAGTGGACCAGGGCATGCGACTTGCCCATCTGGGAGGACATCCGGATGCTGCGGAAACCCTTCAAGAAGATGCTTGATCAGGAGTACAAACAATTGCGCTGCAAGAGCAGGAAGAAGTCGAAGTTCATTTTCCCAAAGGCAGGGTAAACCAGGTTAAGTTAACACGCCATCTTCTACCACTCCTGCTACTGCAATGAAGTTCATGTCCCCAAAAGCAGGGTAAACCAGGTTAACACGCCAGCGCGACATTGTCTACCACTCCTGCTACTGCAATGTTTATGTAGGACTAAGTATGTACCTGCGTGAGTGACTGTCTTGAGATAATGTTACTTGAATAATTCTGCCAGTGTCTTATTACACGAATAAGCACATTCCACGAACTATCCAGATTTGAAGAACACAGAATTTATGATTATATTGTTTTCATCAGAACGACACCCTGTCTGAATTCTGACACGCCAAGAGTGCGAGAATCCTTCAGAAAAGCACTTCTTGACAACGAACTGACAAATGACAGCAATAATTCTGACAATCAGAGTTCATTTCACGGACGAATTGCGGATAGTAATCGACACTTGCCAAATGTCGCCACCGCACGTCCATAATCACGCACAGAGAATGTTGCAGCGTTAGCGAAGTGCAGCGAGGGAGGCTTGACAAAAACTGAAAAGGATGCGTACATGATTGACATAATTATACTACCATAAGTGTAGTATTTATGTAGTAGGGTTCACACAGTCATACTATTATTATGTAATTGTCAGTTCTGAACTTCTGATCGCAAGCAAGGACAGTTAGGCTCTAGATAACTGGTTCCAAACGGTGATGTAATGTGACCTGTGTGTGACAGGGGTATCCACGGTAGCGACCTGGTGACGACTTGATAATCGAATTCTGCATGCACGTACTGGCCTACACTTTGTAGCTGGAACATTGTCAACTCGTCATGTTGGCAGCAGACCTCTCTTCTGTGCCTGGCAAAGCAAACCCAGCGGCTGTGTGTTCTCCTTTGAAACAGACCAGCATCATTTGAATGCTGAAATATCACTTGGACAAAATTATGCAGCGCGCGCTAGCTGCAGAAAGTCAACTCACAAATTGAAAGCTGATATCCTAACGCCTCCACTCGTGATGACCAGTAGCTCTTGGGAATCCCGAGTGCGCTCTTCATCCCACATTACCGCCTTGCCGCATTCCTTATGGCCAGGAAAGGTGACAAGATGCGGTGGTGGTGGCTTATGTACATGTACATGTATATGCCAGTGGCTCTATCTTATCTAGGCTCAGCAGCATTACACTTCACAGTGATGGAGCGCAAGTGCACTTACTTTCCCAGGCTGTAATTACCAGTAGGCAGTAAGTACTAATAGAGTACAGTACTTGTACCATCAGTTCCTGTACACAAAGAACTACTTTATTGAAAATCCATGATAACGCGATCGGAAAGATGATTTGAAAAATCCAAAGTCATCACAGGCAATTATTAGCAGTCACTACTATCAAAGCAGATAATTATTTTGACATAGCGCAACTTAGAAAGCCGGCTAAAATTCTAGACCATCCCTACTTGTATGGCAAAGCTCAGGATCGCCTACGCAAGAAATATGAGGACCGGCAACCGTGGAAACAGGTGACGAACCACCTGACCAAAACGAAAGAGGTCTTGCATCTTAAACTATCTTTTTTATTTTTTTTATTTCGGCCAGTCGGCTACTATCATTTTCGTCTTGGGGGCTAGACAACGGGAAGTAGCCATGTCGGGGCGTGAGCCCGCCTTTCGGCACCGGGAGTTGCAGCTCGCTCGACTTGACTCTACTGAGTGCAGAGGACCCACACCTTGATCTGGTGAGCTGCGTCGTGGGGATTTTGCAGTCAGATGTGCGACTGCGACTATCTTAAATGATGACTTGTACCATCAATGCTTTTCACCATGGATCCCACAGAAGCACAACTACTTGCCGGTACTACTCACCCAAACTACTAAGATAATGTCCGATTCTTTAGTCCTCTAGTGCGTAATCTGACACCAGGAATGCTACTGGCCTCTCTGGACAATCTAACCCTGCAGCATGAAAGCACCTGCAATGGCTCCCCTAGAATACTAATAGGGGAGCCAGTTCTTGCTCATTATTAAAAATGCCATCTATAACTAGGGGGTTCCAACAGATTGTAGCTAAGGAACGCTTCAAGTTAAAGCAGGGGAGGTGTACCCAAGTGCAATACCGACCATGGAAGCAGCCGCTTGAAACATCCTATGGAGTTGATGAGATTCAGAAGAATTTACATGACGCCTTGTACATGTAAAATGTAGTTTGGGTTGGAGTCTTGGAGATCGTCTATTTGGCGAAGGTTAAATTAAGGGACATGTAGCCCATAGTTAACTCTGACCGTAGGCACAGGCGTTTTTTCCTGTTTCAATGAGCTAGACATACTGAGGACGGGCGGTGCTCATCACATCTCTCGCGTCCCGGCCTTTGCCTCCTCAACCGATTAAGTCAGGTTACCAATCCCGGGCAGATGTTCCTACTGGTGGTGGGAAACGATCTTCGCTCAAACCAGGAGTCGAGGCCACAACCTCATGCTTGGACGGTTAGTGCTCTAACCACTTTGCCACCCGCAAACCCATCCTCCAAGTCACAGGAGCCTCAAATTAGGACAACAAATTACAATTACAAACTCAGTTTTAAATATACTGCATGTACAGTGTATGAGGCTCTATTGGAACACGCCAAGGAATGGAATACCGGTGCATGAAAAAGACCAATGGTCCACCAAGGTACTGGTACAGTCATGCATGTGTACACATTGGCTTTTGTCAAACAATTTAATCAAGAGGCTGGGAAGTGAGACTGTGAAACAGCTGACAAAAGCAAAATGGGTAGACTAGTAGGTCACCTTCTCAGCCATCATGCACCAGAATACGCAAACATCACAAAGTCATGACATATTGATTATTGTATTCTGCTGCACACGGCATCAATACTCACTAGTTTAGTGCGTTCGTAAGTGCTAGTGATACTTGTACTGATAGAAACTACCAATACCTACCTTCCTGTTCACACATTTTGCTGAGCTTGAATGAGGATATTGTGTCAAGTACTAGTAATAGCTTTTCTCAAAATGCGAAGACTCCACTGTAGCCATCCACTACATCTATACATCTTCACAACACTCTCCAAACGGTCTCTGGGCTACACCAATCACTAAAAGAAAAAGAGATATTAAAATTATTCGAATTTTCGGGCAAGGCCCATCTTCAGGAATGTACTAATAGCAATGAGATTATTTACCGACCATGCCATCTGTGTGTTCCAGGGCATACATGTACATGTACATGTAACCTCCGTCCCCAGGGCTGATGACAGTACATGATTGACAATTTGTGTACATAGATCTACGCAGCAGCAGAGGATGAGTGACCAATCCTGCCCCGTCGAAATGTCATTTTTGATCGAAATACTCTTGAACTCTGAGCAAAATAGTCAGATCAACCTGTATAAGCAAGTCAGACGTTACCTCAGGAAACCTCCTAGTAGTGTGGATCTCATTACGGGTCAAACTCAAAGGCAGCGAAAACAAACCCAGATGACAATCATTGAGCTGGCAGACAGAGCCCTGCTGGCATTGGCACACTGTTACCACTTTCATAATCATGTGGACCAATACCAAAGTAATGGAACATCCAGCACGTAGTGTGAACTAGACACGCACCTGTGTGGCTGGGTGTACGTGTGTGTGCGTGCGTGTGTTTTAGATGTGCCTTCCAAGCATTCCAGTTTCAGGCAGTTGCTCCGGCCACGGCGGCCAGGCCAATATCAACCATGACGTGATAGGTGATAGTCTGTAGGTGTTTCTTTATACTAAAGTTGTACTCAGTTGCCAAGGCCTTCATTTCAGTAGGCACTGCAGTGTTGCTGGGGAAGAAAGCTGGTGCACCCCCTCTGAGAGCTGCAATGGGCACTTCAGACAGTCTCCATGCCCCTCAGGCATTCAGCAATATCCACACAGGCACAGTGCTGCCATCAATCAGTGTACGCCACTCTACAACATATGTACATGTACATGTATACACACTTCTCAGATACATGTAGTTTCTACGACCTTTGACTCAGTTTGAGCAGATCTACTATAGTAGCACGAAGACAGAATGCTCAATACCCACAAGGCTGAACCTTCCCACACTGTTACACTGTAACAACAACATCATGACACTTATTGTACCTACTATTGACGATGTACAATCATGTGCAAGCATGACTTCAATACAATAGATTAATTTTCTATTTGTGTACTTCTTGGGCGCGCATGAGCAGTGATGATACCGAGGCCCTTGGTCGGTTTAGCTGCTCTTTCCCTGCCTCAACTGCTTTTGCTGCCATCGCTATGTATATCGCTGTGGGTTTTCGCCAGCATTTGCACCATGATGGTTTGTGGCTATCGTGTAAAACAATGACTGAGGTGAAGTGCTAGTACAACAAAATTAAACACGGTTTATTGTGGCTGGGAGGGAGGGGGGGGGGGGATGGGGCATGTAGCAGCGCATGGGTAGACATGGACTCGTAGGTGTGTATAAGTTTGACTGCAGCAAAAAGAGCACTTTCAAGCGCAACAGACAACACAGCGACATGGCGCCAAGGCAAATGAATGTCAAACACACATTTGTGGTAGACCCTGTTCAAGTGCAAGCCACCAACCAACCAATGATTCCCGAACACCACTTCCCACCACCACCACAACCACCAATCATCCTCACCACCACCACCACCACCAATCACCTTTAACATGGGCAATCGCCATCATTACCATCACCACAACAGAACCACTCACTGCACTGTATTTACATACAAGTGCAGCAGGTATGCTATCCAATGGTACTCCAGCCATGACTGGGTAATGCTCATCCCATTGCTCAGCTGGATTCGCTGCTGATGGATGGTGAGCTTGTTCATGTTCTGCCTTGTTGCTGAGAGTGTGCCCTGGAGGTGAGTGTCGCCTCCGGTCAGAAACTCCTCCACCTGCCACCCGTGCATCTCTAGTGCTAGTAGTCATGGTAGTGGCGGTAGAACACAGTCACTACAGTCACATGTGCAAGTCCATGTACAAGTGCACACAGCTACAGGCCAGCATAGCACACATGTATACCATACGAAATCACCTCTGGGGCAAAGACAAGCGACTTGACTGGTGCACCAACAAAACATTTCACAGCTCACTCTCACCTGTTAACCGAGGCCAAGTAGGACAAAGGCTCTTCCGACGTTTCCACGCGCCAACAATCTCCAATTCTCCATGGACATCAGAAGATCCTATTACAATACTGTCAGAATGCATCCAACTGGGACTGTGAACGCTTTGAGAATACACGTACATCCGGTTTGGAGTTTATGATATCATCTTTTGTTACATGATAGGCTCCCAAAAATGCACAACACAAAGTTGCCAAGCTCAGGATTGGCATGCATTCCATATAGTGCCAGTCACTGATCCTTTTTAAAAGACATCCTTTAAAATTAGAACAAGCATGCAGAGTTAAGGTGACAGTATCACTATCAACTTACTGAGGAAGCAGCATAGGGATAAATGTCAAATACACACACACACACACACACACACACACTACTGCTGTGCCTATCGGAAATACATGTATGACTAAGACATACATGTACATGTATGGCATCTGCATGAACTACAGCTCAGTGATCATGTGGGCCAGAAAAGGGAAAGCCCCTACAGAAGACAATGATATCACTGGAATTCATAAATCACTGCACGCATAACACATCAACAATTCCGGCATCGCCAGTCCGGACATTGACAATATCACTGGAGCATGCTAACATATCGCATTTCAGTCTGAGTGATTGTTTTCTGAAGCAACGTGCAATCAACCTGCATGAATAACTAGCTACAATGTGACAGTGTGATGGAAATGCAATGATCATGTTTCATGCGGCCTCAGCATTGCCTAAGCATATCTACTCTACTCCTAGATGATATCAATTTGCAGCAGTCATCACTTCCTGTGCTTCATGTCTGCATAGCTGCCCACTCTAATGAGACGTGGCTCAAAGGCAAGGTCCACAGAGAACCAAGTCCCGCCAACATAAGCTCCACCTGATGTCTTGCCACGTGGGTTGGAGCGCTTCGAGTCTTGTTGTTTAGAACGCTCCCGCGGTACATGTTCTGTTGCGACTTGTGGCCTTGATGTATTCGTAGTGTCCGGATTCTGGTCACAGCCCGCAACACACAGCATAGTTACATTGTCAGCATCCGATGATAATGAAACATAGAACATGTACTCGTTCATTAGTAGTTTCTATTGGCTGCTATTAAGCTCCTTCAATCTAGACGCACCCTACGATGAAAGTTTACAGCCCTACCATGCAGCAAGAGCCATAGGACTACAGAGCCATAGGACTACTTGCAGAAGCGGTGACCTGGTGGCGAGAAGGTTATCTCTGGCATTTCCAGCTATTTCTCAATGACGCCATTAACATGTCACAAATCTTCATACTTCCTCCGCGTCATCGAAATCATACAGTGTTGCAGTTTGACTAGTGACTTGTCACTTGTTACTGACAACTCCATAAGCTAAACCATACAAAAATTATTACACAGTATGATAGTCTGAAGTCTAGAGTAACGTTCCAGGACAGTTTGACTGAGAGTTTTCACGCAGAGATGAAGGCCTCGACGTCGCTGTCAATGGACGCATAAATATCGTTCCGAAAAATGTCTAGGAAGGTTGTAAGTTGGTCGCGCCTCGTCTCAAACGCTTTGACTCTATCCACAGGACAAGAGCTGCTATGCTTGTTGTCTGCTAGCTCTGGATGATTTCTATTTCACCACCAACGAAGTAAGAATACACGATCGTCGCGAGGTCGGTTGATTACCGTCGGTGGAATCACCTCGATCTTGAAATGACCTTTTTTTCGCGTGGCATGCCCGTTTATTTTAGCTGTGTGGTCACTGCTCATTCAGGTAAGTGTACTACAGTCAACTTCGCTAATAACGACTGCGGATATAACGACAATTCGCGAATAACGACAGCATTTCCATGCCCAGAGCAAAGTCCCATCCAACTGTAATACATAATGAGACTTCGGGTATAATGACACTTCGCGAATAAGGACACTTTTCTGATGCCCCGCTAAGTGTCGTTATAAGCGAAGTTGACTGTATCATGTCCAGCGCCCACTCTTTTTCAGCATCACTGGTACGGTACCTGTGCGTGCATCACTAGCACTACAGAGTCTACACCGCTCTTGCAGGTAGATCTACATGAATGTACTGAGTGTCTCAGCCAGATCGACACATTTTATAGCCCTTTCATGCATTTAGTTTGCTGACCCCTCGATATTTCTCCAAGCGCTGCCGCTTGTTCCACGAAGTAAAACAGTGATGAGTTTTTAAGTGAACGGCTATAAGCACGAAAAATGTGGAGTCTGCAGCGCCTGACTGATCTCAGCGAGTCGAAAGTACCATCGCAGCGACATCAGCAAAGAAATTGCGTATAGTTCAAACATATCAGCTTCCAATAACAGAAAATAGAACTTTGCCGTCACCCTTTACTGATGACTATTGCCTATGTCCGATTCCTTACCTGTGATACGACTGCTGGTGAGTAAATACCCCCGTTTTATATCAAAAGTCAAACTGCGACAATTTCGATGACGCGGAGGAAGCACAACCAATACACAGTGCACTGAGTATTTCTGCTGCCAGCAAAAATATCCCAATGCACAACTCCAAGAATGTACCAGCAAGTGCTGCAGGGTCATGCGCAAGAAAGCGCTGGAAAGAGGGGGGGGGGTGAGGTCATGCACCAGTGAATTTATACATTGCACTATAGGCGCAAGTGCTCAGTTGTGCCTCTTCTATCCACCCTGGGTTATGTGTGCATCTCTAAACTCCGTGATGTGTACATGGCAAAGTGTACTCGGGAACTCTGAACCTGTATTCTACAGAAACACAGCCTGTCAGCAAAGGACGGTCCTGAAAAAGCCAGTAGTGGGTGATCATGCGCTGGCAGAGGTGATGATGATGATGTTCGGGTGACTCACCCAAAGCCAAACCTGCTGTCGCGTCCAGAAGTCCAGCGCCATCTCCAAAAGCATGAAGGCATGAAAAAGCGGGAATACGGAGCGCGTGTTGTGAATATAGACCGAGGCACGTTCACCCCGTTGGTTTTCGCCACGAATGGCATGTGTGGCCGGGAGGCAGACCGCTTTCTCAAGTGTCTTGCAGCCCAGTATGTCGATAAACACAGTGACTTGGCCTACTCGCTGGTTATGGGTCGATTGCGGTGCCTGCTCTCGTTCACTTTACTCCGTTGGGCAGTGACCTGTTTTCGTGGCTGCCGTAGCTCCTACCAGAAAAAGTCAGTCAAGAATTTCAGGAGTTATTGTTTGATGGGTCGTTAGATAGAGGCCGGTGTTTGTGAGACTGCAATCATTTAATGTTTCTTCCTTAGTGGTGTAGGTAGATTCTGTTTTGTAAGCATAGTAGGACTACTTTTGTTTTGTAAGTCAATCTCATTCTCCACGCTTTGCTGTCATTTGGTTATGTTTTAAAGTAGTTTTTATGACCTGATGTTTGTTTTTTATATTTGTAGTTCTATTGTTGACATCTTTTGTCTTTTCTTTGGGTTAAAAGGTTAACTTCATCCTCGTTTTCTTATTGCCTTGTATTGGAATTTGCCCATAAAAGTGGCTACGGTGTGATAATGCATTTTTATATTTCGTGTTTTAACATTATTTTCAGAAAATTGCTCTTACAATACCTTGCGTTATATATTCATAATATTGTTGCCCGTAAAAGCGGCTTGGTCACATGATGATGATGATGATGATGATGATGATGCTGAAGTACCCACTAGTAATGGGCATACTACGCACCCGTTTGTCTTTCTGCTTGCTGCGATGGGCAGTCACCTGCTTCCGCGGTTGCCGCGGTTCGTACGGCAAGAGGCGACAGCCGAACTCATTTCTGGCCCAGTGCCGCCAGGCGGAGTAGAGTGCTGCCTTTGGCCTCAACTTAATATAATGCTATTTTGGTTTTTTCCCCTTTTATTACTCTGTGTTCATTGCTTGTTTTTGTATTGATTTACTTCCTTGACTGCTTTTGTGTTTCATCATTTTCCGGTTGGTTTTGTGTTGATTTCCCCTGTTCACTTTACATATTGTAATGATATACATTTGCTTTGCCCGTAAAAGAGGCTTTTCTCATGATGATGATGATGATGATGATGATGATGATGATGATGATGATGATGATGATGATGATGATGATGATGATGCTGGACTCTGACGCGTGGTGCCGGATGCTAACCTGTTATCGCAAATCGTCAGATGGTCTCTGTACTGCTCTTGCCAGCTTTGCCCAATGCCTGTGCTCGGAGGACTTGGATCCGGAACACCTATCCGCATTTACCGCCGCTAGACTTATTCCATTGGACAAACACCCAGGTGTGCGGCCGATTGCGGTGGGTGAAGTGTTCCGCCGGCTTGTGTGTCGTGCCGTTATGCGGGTGCTTGAGTCCGATGTACTGCGTGCTACTGCTCCCATGCAATTGTGCATTGGGGTGCCGTCTGCCTGTGAGGCAGGGGTTCATGCAATGCAGGAGTTGTTCGCACGAGAGGACACGGAAGGCATCTTGTTTGTAGATGCTACGAATGCGTTCAATTCATTGAATAGAAACGCGGCCCTCCATAACGTGCCCTATGTATGCCCCGCTATGGCAAAGGTGTTCCAGAACACGTACAGTTCTTCAATTCGTCTCTTCGTCTCCGGCGGCGGGGAGATTGAGTCACTGGAGGGTACTTGCCAGGGCGATCCGCTGGCCATGGCTCTGTATGGTATCGCTACAGTCCCGATGATTCGGCGCCTCCAGGAATCCAATCCATCTGTGGCTCAGGTTTGGTACGCGGACGACGATTCTGCAGGTGGCCGCGTTTCTTCATTGTCCACATACTGGGGAGACATAAGCCAACTGGGCCCTGACTATGGATACTTTCCAAACCCACAGAAATCAGTGTTGCTGGTCAAGCCGGAGCATGAGGAAGAGGCCCAGCGCCTCTTCTCCGCCACTGGAGTTACCATCAAGACCAGCGGCAACCGTCACCTCGGCGGAGCGATTGGCAGTGAGGAGTTCTGCTCTGCCTTCATGGCCAAGAAGGTGGATAAATGGAAGCAGGTTCTGGATTCCCTGACGGGGATGGCTGTCACTCAGCCTCAGGCCGCATACACCGTTTTTACGAAGGGTCTGTCATCCACATGGACATACCACTTGCGTTGCTCACCTTGTTCGGCTGAGATACTGGCCGAGCTTGATGAGAGGATCAATGATTGCCTGATACCTGCCCTTCTGGGGGATGGCGTTCGTCCTGGTAGCCCTGAGAGAGAGCTGATGTCATTTCCAGTGCGTCTTGGTGGTTTGGCCCTCCCTCTGTTGCAGGATAGTGCACCAGCAGAGCTCGCAGCATCCTTGAGCATCACAAAGCCTCTTGTTCAGCTACTGTTGACTGGCACATATGCGAACCCTCCAAGCGTGCCTGGTGATATGGCAAGGAGCGATTTGTCGGATACTGCCCAGTCAGAGGGCTCCGGTGATACAACCCAGGAGGTTGCCGACCGAGTGAGGCTCTCCAATCATGATCCCGTCCGCGATGCTGTTGGGGACACCCGCCAGCTGGCACGCTCGACTCGGACAAGCAAAATGCAGAGCCTATGCAGCCGGCAACAAGACATTAAGGCGGACTTGAGCTCGGAGCAACAATTTCTTGTTGAAATCGCGTCCGAAAAGGGAGTATCGTCATGGTTGACTGTTGCCCCGCGGTGGCAAGATGGAACCATCCTGAAGAAATCCGACTTCCGTGATGCCCTGTGCATCCGCTATGGGCGAAGGTTGAGTGGGCTACCCGATTCATGTGTTTGTGGTGTGCCTCTCAGCCCCGCTCATGCACTTACCTGTGCCACTGGCGGCTATACCATTGCCCGTCACAATGAGGTGCGGGACTTGGTTGCTGGACTACTGAGGGAGGCTGGAGTGGTGGACGTAGAGACGGAGCCCCGGCTATTGCCCTGCAGCAGTGAGCATTTGCCTGGTGGTCGTTCCCTCAACCGATGCGCAGAAGCTCGTCTGGATGTGCGGGCTCGCGGCTTTTGGTCGTGGCAACAGGACGCTTACTTTGATGTGCGGATCACTCATCCCGCAGCGTCTGTGTT